CGCTATACGCTCAAAACAAACAAACCCAAAGCTATGTAATTAAATAGTTTTGTTTGTACATGACTAAAGGGATAAATGGGTTTTAACTATGAGTATGCTCATCTGACAGAACAGTCATTAATTTTGTCACTGATGCTCAGATTTCCAGGGTAGAAATGTGGTCTGTGAAGCTACCAGCTGCTGAGAGGAACCATGAGGATGTGGAAGTTCCCTGTAGCTTCAGGAACAAACATCCTTATCTGTGTTTAAATCAAAGTTGATTCATCCAGAACTGGGTCAGTAATGGGAGGAAATGGAGCGGCAGAACCAGGCCAGAGTTCTGACCGGGCAGAACACATTCCTGACCTATATCTATTGTGCGGATTTCAGCTGCTGCTGTAACCCTCTTCCGCTGGAGGGTGTAAAAAAAACGGTCCGAACCAAGTGGATCCGAGGTTCTGGAAGGAAAAGGAGTAAACTGAAACCCATTTCAAACTCTGTTTCAGATTCTGTACATGGCCTCCTTCTTCTTCACCCTGAACTATGTGTGGAACCTCTACACGGTAACCAGGGAGAAGTTCAACAGCTGCTTCAGCGGGTACTCCGTACAGGTACATCCACACCTCAGAACCTCTGGACTTCAGAGCATCTCCTATAAAGCCTGAAGTTATTCTTATTATGAACAATATTGACTCAAAGAATCGATCATTTTCACCCACCAGCTCTGCTTATCCCTAAATAAAACAATTCTGGAAGATCCAAACAGCTTTTCCAAAACTTTTATTGTCTTTATATTGGACCAAATTTTATTCTTCTCCAAATATTTTGCTTCAGGTAAATTATCCAAATAAGTTAAATAATATAAAACAGGAATTTCTTTTCTAAACAATATTTTTTTTAGAATTATATATATAAAAAAAATTATAAAATGAGATTCCATACTTAGTTTAGTTCAGTTTATCTCAGTTTAGCTTATCTTAGCTTAGTTTAGCTTAGCTTAGTTTAGCTTATCTTAGCTTAGTTTAGCTTATCTTAGCTTAGTTTAGTTCAGTTTATCTCAGTTTAGTTTAGTTTATCTTAGCTTAGTTTAGCTTAGCTTAGTTTAGCTTATCTTAGCTTAGTTGATCCAGAGAACAGTAGGTCAGCTCAGTTTACGAAAACTTATCTTAGCACCTGCCTCTTACTTTTTATTAACCTCCTTTAAGTTAGTTTGGAAAAAATAAATAGTCCCTTCTAATGTCTTTATTTTGGTGTTGTATACGTTGTTTAGCTTAGCAGCTATTAGGAAAAAGGGGTGTTGTTAAATAAAGCTGTTTAGCCTAATTTAACCTGATTTAGCCATTTTAGCTGAAGTTATTTGAACTTATTTTATTCTACTCTGACATACCTAATTTAGCTTAGCTTAGTTTAGTTTAGTTTAGCTTAGCTTAGTTTAGTTTAGCTTATCTTAGCTTAGCTTAGTTCATCCAGGGAACAGTAGGTCAGCTCAGTTTACGAAAACTTATCTTAGCACCTGCCTCTTATTTTTTTATTAACCTCCTTTAACTTAGTTTGGAAAATATTAAAAAAAAAATAGTCCCTTCTAATGTCTTTATTTTGGTGTTGTATACATGGTTTAGCTTTGCAGCTATTAGGAAAAAGGGGCGTTGTTAAATAAAGCTGTTTAGCCTAATTTAACCTGATTTAGCCATTTTATTTGAAGTTATTTTAACTTATTTTATTCTACTCCGACATACCTAATTTAGCTTAGCTTAGCTTAGCTTAGTTTAGTTTAGCTTATCTTAGCTTAGCTTAGTTCATCCAGGAAACAGTAGGTCAGCTCAGTTTACGAAAACTTATCTTAGCACCTGCCTCTTATTTTTTATTAACCTCCTTTAACTTAGTTTGGAAAAAAAAATAGTCCTTTCTAATGTCTTTATTTTGGTGTTGTATACGTTGTTTAGCTTAGTTTAGCTTAGCTTAGTTTAGTTTAGCTTAGTTTAGCTTATCTTAGCTTAGCAGCTATTAGGAAAAATGGTTGTTGTTAAATAAAGCTGTTTAGCCTAATTTAACCTGATTTAGCCATTTTATTTGAAGTTGTTTTAACTTATTTTATTCTACTCCGACATACCTAATTTAGCTTAGCTTAGTTTGGTCTAGCTTAGTAAAGCTTAGCTAAGCAGCATGTATCTCAGCTAAATTTAGCTTAGCTCATCCAGGGAGCCCAGATTAGGTCGGCTTGCTTTAACTAAATTGACATTAGCCTTATTTTTTTCAACTTACATCAAATCCCACCTGTTTATTTCACCCCCAACTTAATTCAACTTAATTTAGAAAAAGAAACAAAGAATTGAAATCTTCAATTTAATAAGTTTTAATCCATTTTTCTGCCTTAACTTGTTTAGCTTAACAGCCCTTAGGAAATGCTGGAGGGCTGTGACAGAAATCAGTTTATCTTGATTTAGCTATTGTAGCTGAAGTTAACCTTATTCTATTTGTTTTTCATTTTGTGCCTAATCTATCTTAGCTCTCCTAAGTGTT